TTTTTTTTAGTAATGATTGTCATCATATCAAGGTTAATGGACCTGATTTTATGGTACTTCTGAGGAAATTTTTATCGTACTCAAAATTTCACAGGTGTTTCCAATTATTTGGTCTGAGAGAAGTGCCTTTTTTGCAAAGAGTTAATTACGTACACAGCTGGCTTCCACTATGTAATGTTTTATTTCTTAAAACAGAGTAGTGGATTATATGGGTGTTCATTATAACATTCTTTGAGTGTCTAAAAATTATCATTATAGAAATTTCTGTCTAAAAATTATAGAAACTTAAGTTAATTTGGGATTAAATGCAGTCAGTGAATAAGTTTGTGTATACAAGAGAGTCAGTGTGAGAACATGGAAATTATAAAGTATTTTTTAGTCACTGTTCCAGTATCTGGCACTCAGTGACTATTTATTGAATTTAAAATAATGGTTATTCAGTTTTATAATTTAAACAATTAGCTCTCTCAGTGTTAGTCTTTTGGACCATTTTTGTATTATGAATTTTAGCATCAGAAGGAGTAGAGAAAATGAAATTCTAAACCGATCAATATTGCTGTTTGTTAGTGGTCATAAAAATGTATTTAAAGCACACGGAGATTTAGGATAGTTATTAACTTTCAATTTATCATGCTTACTGCACTCTCATAGTTAATTAGTTGTTGTAATTAAATGCAAATACAGCTAACTTTATAAAACTGCACATAAATTTGTTTATAAAACATAAATTTGCTTATTTTATATCTCCATTGTAATAATCTGCCTCTCAGAAAGCATACTCCTAATTTATATGTTATGGTGGACATTTTACATGACCTTTACTTCTTTATCTTAGGAATGAGGGAATTGAAGTTCGTCTAGTAAAGAGGAGAGACTATGATGAAGAGACTGTTCGATGGGCAGATGCTGTCATAGCTGCAGGAGGTAATAGTTTTACAGAGGTAAAGATGTTGGAATATGGAAATGCTACTAATACACATTATTTCCAGATACTCTGGGGGTTAGCTATTTTGAAACCTTTGGAGTCCTACCATCAGACAAATTTTTGGATTTTTAGGATTAGGTTAAAACATCTGTTTTATACAACATTTTACTTTTTTAACGAATGGCGTTTCTGTGAGGTTCCATGGATATATTTCCATGTTTATAGTTAAGGTGTGCTTTTAACTTCAAATATTCAAAGGATTTTTTTTGTATTTGGTTTAATTATGCTGGTTGTAAGAAAAAAAATTGAAGTTGATAAAGTGTTTAGTGAGATTAGATAACTTCTACCCCTCTTTGGCCCCCAATATACTTAACACTTATTTTTTCCCCTAAAGTTTATGTTAATGATCACTCTTCCTGAAGCTTTAAATTGATGGCAGCTGTTGGAGAGAAAAATCTGAACTTAGACACTTTGTTGGATATATTTTCATTAAAATAATTTATGAATTTGGAGTGGCGTTATGGGAGAAGAAAAGAGAGTTGGCTAATAGAAATTTTGGGATTAGAGCAGTGGTTACCAACTAGAGGGTGCTACTGGCATCTAATGGGTATGCTGCTAAACATTCTACACTGTACAGGACAGCCCCCCACAACAAAGAATTATTCTGCCAAAAATGTCAATCTTGCCACTGTTGAAATCCTGGATTAGAATGGGAGAGAGAGTACAAAGGTATAGTAGGTAGAAAGGAAGTGAGATAGGCTGTGGCAGTCAGCAGGGTGGGGTATGATTGTTAAAACAAAACTATTGGTATTCAAAATGATGTCAAAAACTGGCTTTATAACAGAAGGCTGGTTATCTCTTTTATCTTACTTACGTCCCTTAGGTGATGGCACGATGCTTTTGGCAGCAAGTAAAGTCTTGGACAGACTTAAACCCGTTATAGGGGTAAACACGGATCCAGAACGGTAAAAGGATCTTTTGTTCTTTTTGTTTGATTTGTGTGTGTGTGTGTGTGTGTGTGTGTGTGTGTGTGTGTGTGTTTCGTGTTATACATACAAACATTTTTGCTTTGCTTTGCATAGTATTTACTTATGATCCATCTTAAAATTTGGAAGCTATTCTTTATTTGCTATAGTCAGCTTACTGGGCTCTGTTGCTACTGGTATTTTACTATGGTACATGATTTTTAAGTGGAAGCATCATTGTTCCTGGCTACCAGGAACATTAGAACCATGTTCCAAAAACATTTTAGTGATAAAATTTAGGCATATAGAATTGAGCAGGATTATCTTTTATGTAGTTGTTTTCAAGAATATAGCTCTAGTTTTAAGCTCGGATATATGCATCTAGCTGGCATTGGTGGTAGAAAATTATGTTATGACAAAGATTAATCCTCACATTTTGAGTATGAGCCCCCACTAACACTATGATTGGAGGGTCACACCAGGATGCTTTCGCTCTAGTGAGGAGATTTGTTGATATTTAAGATAGTGCCTGATTTAAAGAGTAAGTAAAAGAATTCTTCAGAAGGCCCATTTTTTTTTTCATGCCTTTGTATGTGCTTTTGTCAAGAGTGCCCTTACACCGCTTATTTACTTCTATAGTACTTATTCATTCAAGACCCTGGTGCTTCTCCTGGGCTCTGACTATAAATCCCTGTACAGAAGGCACTTATCCCTTTGTATTATTTTCTGCTTAATTCTTTGTCTTTTCCATTAGACTATAAATTCCTTCAGTATAGGGCCTTATATTTTAATTTCCCTATCACTAACATAGTTTTATACTTCATTAGACAATAAACATTTGAAAAGGGAATGATTAATTAAATGATCTTAGTGAGTTAGGGCTAGCATCCAATCTAGCTGAATAAACATTCCCTGAATGTAAGCAATTGAGATAATGGGTTCAGTCATTAATTTTTCATTGCCATCAATTTTGATGCATGTGGCTTTTAGAACTTCTAATGGCATATTTTCCTATCAGTCAGGTAAGACATTTTGTTACTTAACATTCCTGATCATATTTTATACAGTTTATTGAAGTATATCTTCCTTTAAAACAGCTGGCTTAATATTCATATACTTGTGGGAATTTTGAAACTGGTAAGCATAGGGTGTTAATACCCATCTCTTTGTTTTCCACCTATAATAACAGGTTTTAGAAGTTCTTTGGTTTTTCTTCTTGCCTCCAGGAAGATGTATTAAGTTGCTTCCTAGTGTTTTCTATAATTCGAGTTGCCTGACTTCTTTTTCTTAAGCTATGGTGCCTCACAGTCCTTTAAAATGCCCAGAAGTTAATGTTTAACTTAAATTTCTTCTCCTCTTTACTGGTTATTAAGTGTGTATAACCAATCATACCAAAACTTAGAGGCTTAAAACAATAATAATTTATTATTTCTCATGGTTTCTGTGTGCCAGGAATTCAGGAGCAGTTCGGCTGGCTGGTTTTGGTTTGGGATCTCATGAGGTTATAGTCAGATAATCAGCTAGGACTGCAGGTATCTGAAGGCTCAACTTAGGCTGGAGGATCTTCTTCTAAAATGGCTTACTTACATGGACTCCTCTAAATTAAATATACTTTTTGTCTGCCTCTTCTGTATTCTACACCCACTGTACTGAACCTGGTAAATAATTATGATGTTTGAAAGCTTAATATTCAAAATAGGATAGAGGGCATGTGGTAGACAGCCTCCAAGGTAACCTCCTAGTATTTATGACCCTATGTACTCCCCAATTCGCCCCCCAGTAGTCAATCAGAGCTGTTCTATGTGACCAATAGAATATGGTGTGACAATGTGTGACTTCTAAGGCCAGGTCATAAATAGTATTGCAGCTTTTGTATTGGTCTTTTGGACTGCTCTTTCTGGGGTAAGTCAGCCACCATGATGTGAGGTCATTCAAGCAGCCCTGTGGAGAGGCTCATACGGAGAAGCATTGAGGCCTCCTGCCAACAGCCAGCACCAGTTTACCAGCCATGTGAGTGAGCAACCTTGGCAGTGGATCCTTTAGCCGGAGTCCTCGCTGATATCTGACTGTAACTTCATGAGAGATTCTTCTCTCTCCAATGTTTTAGACTTGGAGTTAACCTCAGCATGTATTATTCTATTGAATGACTATTGATACCTTTTATGTTCTTAACACTGTGTAAAGTATTACAGTGAATATAAAAATTAAAAAACTTAAGCCCTGCCCTTTTTTAACCTCAGTGTTAACCCTCTCAGATAAAGAAATTGACACAGTCACAACTTTGTAAAAACATTTTTTTCTGCTCCTAACACTTATAAGTAATTTACGTTTATTATCAGGAATTTGTTTTGGTAAGCCTACCCCCAGCCTTTTCTTCAAGTTTGAAGTGTTGTATAAATGATGATGATTGAGTTTTCTGGATACCTTTAGGTGCTGTGTACTCTCATCTTCCTATAGCAGCCTATAGGCAATCTGACCACCTTATAATTTGCAATTATTTGTTTTAATTTCTGTTTTCCACATCAAGCTGTGAACTCCTTTAAGGAATTTCATCCTTTATATATATATTTTTTTATAAATGTGGGATTACATTGGATTACGATTTCTCAGTTCTCTCTTAGTGACTCAGGATATATTAAATAACATTTAAAAAGGAATTATGGGCCGGGCGCAGTGGCTCACGCCTGTAATCCTAGCACTCTGGGAGGCCGAGGCGGGCGGATTGTTTGAGCTCAGGAGTTCGAAACCAGCCTGAGCAAGAGTGAGACCCTGTCTCTACTAAAAATAGAAAGAAATTAATCGGACAACTAAAAATATATAGAAAAAATTAGCTGGGCATGGTGGCGCATGCCTGTAGTCCCAGCTACTCGGGAGGCTGAGGCAGTAGGATCGCTTGAGCCCAGGAGTTTGAGGTTGCCGTGAGCTAGGATGATGCCATGGCACTCTAGCCAGGGCAACAGAGTGAGACTCTGTCTCAAAAAAAAAAAAAGGAATTATGGTTCAAAACACTTTCACATAAATAGTTTGATTCCCAGAATAGCATTTTGAGATTAGTGATTTTATCACAATTTTAGAATTGATGAAACTGATGCTAAAGTGACTTGCCCAAAGTTAATAGTTAAATAATTTAAAGATAATGTGCAAATACTAGTATATTATTAGATAACTTTACAAGGTAATTATTCAGTGGCAAATTTGCTATTATTTTCAGTTGCATTGTAATATAGAAACTTAAGTATTATTGAGTATGGCATTAAAGCTGGATGTAGACTATTTCTATTTGGTCTTTTTGTTGAAAGTATAGACAATTTTATGGTAAAAAATGAAGAAGAAAATAGAAATCTTTAAAATTTCATATCTTGATTTTTGTAGTTTAGTGATACCTTTTGATTAAGTTTTTTTTCTTCACACTTTTTCTTCTCCCTTTTACTCCACCCAAAGGTCTGAGGGTCATTTATGTCTGCCTGTTCGATACACACATTCCTTCCCAGAAGCCTTACAGAAGTTCTATCGTGGTGAGTTCAGGTAGGAATTTCTTATTATTGTTCTTATTTAAATATTTTAATAAGCATGTACCATTAATAATGCTGTTAAAAGCAGAACAAATTAGATAACATTTGGATAACTCCATAGTTATCACAATATCCATAAAAAGTAATGTATTAGCTGAGTCACAAATAGATCTAATTTACCTTCTCCTAGTTCAATTGGAACTGTGGAGAGAAAGCCTGACAGATGTTGCTTGGCCTATAATGTACTTGAAATAGAGGTTTTTCTCCTTCAGTAAAATAGAGGCTTTCTTAACCTTAACTTACATTTCCTTATCAGTTTGGTAGAAAGATAGTTAAAACTGTTGCCTAAAATTGAGTGTTCAAATTTTGACATTTTATATTTTTTATTCTTATCTCCTATCCAGCAATGATTGAAGGTTGGATTTAATCCAGCCATACTGAGATTCCTGGTGTCTCTGTCTTACATATTAAGTATTCCTTAAGCAGCTGGGATGGGTTTTTTTTTCCGTATTTCTTTTACTCAATCTGTTCAGTGGTCAGACCCTCATGAAAAGAGGAAGGTGGAGGGAGGAGCTAAAAAGGGGTTGGCTAATTATATCTGAGAGTGCTAAGTTGGACTACTTTTTATTTTCTGGCTTGGATTAGATTTTATAGTTGGAGAAAGCTTTTTCTCCAGGTATTTGCATGATTATATTATTAATAGATCTTGTCTTCTCTAGAATAATTTTATTATCAGTGATTCTGGTTTGTAGGCATTTTGGAAGTTTGGCAACTCTAGAAATGACTAATTTATAGCTATCAAGTGGAAGTATCTGGCAGAATCTATCCCATTGGCTTTTGATATATCAATTTTTGATTTTGCAATCAATTTAACCTGATTCTTTTTTCCTTTTACCAAAAATGTCATTTAAATTTTTAGGTGTAATCAAAAATGTTATATTTGTTATTTCTTAATCCCTTTTTCCTTTTATTGTATACAAAACCCCATCATTACAAAATTTGGAGGGAGGGATTTTTATCTAATTCAGCCACTTTAACGTAGTATTATTTTAATTTCAGAATGCTTTCTTTTTTATATAATATTTTTTGCTGAACAAAACACAGGGCTATATCTAGCTCAGTATCTTGACCTTAATGGCTTCCTGACAAAGAGTTTAACTTTAATTCAAGTTACTTTGGAAATCTTTTACATATATATTAGATATTTCCATTATAATGGAAAAGAGAAACATTCAAATCCATCTTTGAGCAGGAACCTGTGGGTTTTAGGTGTTTGTGGAATAATTTATTTATGGAATAAGTCGTTTTTTATTTTTCAATTTGGTTAAATCATTATGATGTCTAATCCTTAGTTTAATTTCTTCTATTTTAACATAACTTGCTTTTCCTTCTCTTTCCTAAGGTGGTTATGGAGGCAGCGAATCAGGTTATACCTTGAAGGGACTGGCATAAATCCTGTTCCTGTGGACCTTCATGAACAGCAACTAAGTTTGAATCAACATAGCAGAGCCCTTAACATTGAAAGAGTTCGTGATGAAAGTAGGTGGATTGGGAATTAGATGTGTTTGGGGCAATATTTAACTTACAATTCCTTTGAGCTCTGATTGTTTAAGGTAATAATTTATAATTATTTTTAATGCCACTAGCAACACTTAGGAAAGTACAATGAACTACTTCAGTTGTAAAGTTTACTATAATTAGAATCTGAAGTAAGAAATATAACATATTTCTAGAAGAATTGTTTCCTAGGACAGATGTGAAAACTAATTGATTAGGGAAGGATTACAAAATATCTGACAAGATAGTTGATGTTTAAAAAAAGATTCTTGGCCTTAATCTTTGAAATGTCAAAAAATAAAAAATAAAAGACAGCAGTAGAGATAAAACAAGCTAATCTGTGGAAGATTTCATAATAATTATACATTTTATATAGTTATACTTAAGTATATTAAATAAATTTGTTGTCGGGAAATTTTGCATCCTGGCCTTAAGATTTGTGTCTGAAGTATTTGTGTAAGCTGCTAAGAGAATATTAGCATAAGGTGATTTACAGCTTTTTTTGTTATGAAGACTAAGGTAAATTCTCAGTTTTGAGCTAATTCATGGATTATTATTTAGATGTATTTTCTCACTTTTTCTGTAAATGTAGGGCTCTTATGATGCAAAAGGATACCAAGAGAAAACCTAAATATTTGTGAACTATATAAAAAGATATTTTTTTCTCCTGTGTTTTGTTTTCTGGATACATTTATTGGGAAAAGCTTACGTATATGCTTCATGTCTCTGTTCTCTCTTGGTACCTGATATTTATATCTATTTTTTCAGAGTTTTTCATGGTGACCTACAGCTTTATAGGTTACTATGTTCCTAGTGTGTTTATGTCATGTTTTAAAAATTCTCCTCCAAAAAAAATCATTTGGTTTTAAAAATCTTTTAAGAAATTGTTTGTATATAAATTTCTATTATTGTTTTTGAAAGTCTGCAGTAACTATTAAGATTTTAGGATCACAGCTAGAAATTTTACTTTATTTCTCACTGAAAGAAGTTAATGCTGCCGCCAAAAGATGGTAGATTCCGCTCTTTTCACCAATCGTTTTTTAATTAGGGAAGATGTAGGTTGGTTTGTAAAGATTCACTGCTCAGTTTCCTCAGATTCAATGTATTTAGTTTATAAACTAAGTTAATATTTCATATATAGAAACAAAATTATGTATACACTTAGTAAATCATGGCTTAACATCCAGGATGTTCACATATGATTAATGGTAGTCCAGAAAAGGAACAGAAAAAATGTTCAAAATAAAATAAGAACATTTCTCAAAACTCAGGCAGAGGAAACACTTCAAAAGCACAGGCAACAAAAATAGACAAGTGGGACTATATTAAACTAAAGAGCTTCTGCCTAACAAAGGAAACAACAGAGTGAAGAAACAATCTATAGAATGGAAGAAAATATTTGCAAACTATTAATCCGACAAGGGACTAATATTAGAACATGCAAGGAACTCAGTGCAACAAGAAAAAAATAAATACTCCCATTAAAAAGTGGGCAAAGGCTCTGAATAGACATTTCTCAAATGAAGATATACAAATGGCTAAACTAAACCCCGGAAGAATCCTATAAGATGGATAAATATATTTCATCATTCTTGGAAAAATTGTTTCAAGAAGAATTAAGGTTTATTTTGAAGAGATAGAGGCTTCATTGCAGGTATATGGTTAGGTGACATGAAGGTTTATATTATGGATACTTGAAGAGATAATTTATGTTAACTATATTGAAGTATATGATTCTTTTAAAACAAAAAAGTTTTTAATGTTTTATAGAATTTTTATCATAACATTTCTAAAATTTAAGGAGCTGTCTTGGATTTTCCTTCTCTCTCTTTCTCTCTCTCTCTTTTTTTTCTCATTACCTGCAGGGTCTGAGGCTTCAGGACCACAACTTTTGCCAGTGAGAGCACTAAATGAAGTCTTCATTGGGGAGAGTCTATCTTCCAGGTACTTTTAAACCTAATGGTTTAATACTTTTGGATATTCATATTCAATTTCTACAATCTGTCTAAAATTTTTGAATAATGAATATTTTATAAGTAATAGCAATTATTTACTGAGATATTTCCCAAACTTTATACATGTTAATACACGTTAAGGGGAAAAAAAAGTTCTGTGACCAAAAATGTTTGTGAAACCCTAGGTTAAACAAAGTTATTTGGGTTTCTTTATTGAACTACTTCCCAGAGGCTTTAAACTGTTCATATAGGTGCTTATAAATGTGTTTTTTAATTTTAATTTTTTTTTTTTTTTTTTTTTAGAGACAAGGTCTCACTATGTTGCCTAGGCTGGCCTTGAACTCCTGGGCTCAAGTGATCCTTCTCACCTCAGCCTCCCAAGTAGCTGGGACCACAACTACACCCAGCTTAGAAATGTTTAAGAGAGTGATATACTAAGCATATATTTGCAATTGATATAAAACTTTTATACACAGCTCATATTAAAGTTTCCCCATTAATTGTCTCAGTGCCCTTTAAAGCTCATATATTTGCTTCTTTTTATCCAGGATCCAATTAAGGATCACACATTGCATTTGGCTGCTATGGCCCTTTAGAATTAATTAAGAACAGTTCCTTAACTTCACCCCTGTTTTGTCATTAACGATATTAATGTTTTTGAGTGGTCTAAGCCAATTGATTTGCAGAATATCCCTTATTTTAAATTTGTGTGATTTTTTTCTTCTTTGCATGATGAGATTTAGACGAGACATTTTTGACAGGAATTCTACATAGGTGATGTATTCTTTTTAGTGTAACGTAAGGCAAATGGATTGACAATTCAAGATTATAACCATTGTTACCAAAACTTAAGGTTAATACAGCTCCTCATTGAGAGTATTTAAATGTATGTGTTTTATTACTGATAAAATTTGTTTTGTGGGACCTGAATATAATTTAGTCTTAAATTATTGTTAATAAAATTTCTTTTGCAAAACTTATTTGTAGAATATGGTTACCAGCTATAAAATGTCTACTGTAATGTAGTTGTTTTAACTCTTGGTAGTACTTTAGTTTGAATTCTCATTTTTGTAGATGTAAGTAAATTAGGGTAGAAGATTATAGATGAGTTTTATGTCTTACTTTCCTGCTACCAGAACCATGTGATACTTTGAAGGCCATATAGTTGATTTCCTAGTTTACTCAGAGTTCCATAAATTCTAAAATTTTGTTTTTGCAAGTCATTTTCTTTCATAGAAGTTTAATTTTAGTGAGAAAAATTTGTATTAACACATTGACTGCCACACTAGAAAAAAAAATTTTTCCCTGGGGCCACACCGTTTTATTTAAACAGATCAATCTTTCTAATTTGTTATTTTTTATTGTTTTCTATGCATTAGTTATATGCAGTGTAATCCACGTTTTTAGAATTAAATTGTCAATATTAACTGTAACAATAAGAACTTCAACAAGTAAGATTTTCGTGAACCAACTACAGGGTTTTGCTTCACGAGGCCCTGGGCTCAAAACTAGTCTGAGTTAAATACAACGCACATGGCAGTCAGTGTGTTAACTAAAACAGATATCCACATGCTAGCCAATGACTCAACTCTGACAGTATTGAAAAGAACAAAGCTTGACTCAACAGAATGATTTGAATAATTTTTTTACTTGTAATTATTTTGTTGTATGTAATATTAAATTTATTCAACAAAAGTATATTGTGCACCTACTATGTGGAATATGGAAGTCTCTAGGGATGTAAAGATGAGTAAGGTAAAGGTGGTGGTATCTTAATTTTTTGGAGGGTAATAAATATATAATTTTAAAATGTTTAAAAGTAAAATTCTTCAAAGAAATAAAATAGTTAAAGGAAAATGGAAACTATAGTAAAGTGTAAACATAATTTAACACCAGCAAGACTTATGTTATATATAAAGTTTTTTCTTTTGCTGCATATCAAGTTTGAAACAATACAGAGATGAATAATAGATGCTATTATGTGATAGAAGAGAGAAAGGAGAAAATGTAATTCTAATTACTGATATAATTTAGTTATTATTGCTAAAGACATAAGATAGAGAAGAAAGCAAAAACTTTAAATGAGATTGGAGAAAGTCTAATAGATGACAAAGGTAAAAATGTTCTGTGAATTTATGCTTACTCTAGGCAAGCCATTTATGGCTTGTTTTATTCTCTTTGAGTATTTTAAAGGTTGTATGGTTAACTGCTGAGAGCTTCTACTAGTGTTGCTTTATAATTTGTACTTACTAAAAAATTAAAAAACTTATAAAAGGGGGAAAACTGGGATCTGTTGATAGACTTTTGGGAAGTCAGTGAAGTCTCATGAAGGGATTTTAGATTGAATGCTTTTATTTCCTGTGGCAGTAGTGATCTGGTTTATCTCCTAAATATTGTCTGCTGCTGCTGCTTTTTGTGTTCTCTGATGTCTTACCTTATATCTTTACTAAGATAAGAACAACAATGAATTGGCTTCTGATACTATTGAAAACGGTTTAACTAGTGGAGGCATTCGAACTTATTTTTAAGGATTCTATGATCTCGACCCTTAGGCAGAAAGGACATGAACATTTATTGGATGACCACTATGTGTCAGGCACATATTGTGTATGTTATCTTATTTAGTGCTCCTAGAAGCCCTATGAGAAGGGTAGTTGTATTTTTACTAAAATTGAGGTTTGGAGAGTTCAAATAACTTGCTCAAATCATATAATTAGTTAGCATCAGAATTATAATATAAACCCAGTATTTCTGATTCCAGGTCCTGTATTGAGGCTTCAGGACCTGAAGCTTTGGACCTTTATGCTCTGAAAACTTAAGTGCTTCGCTTGGAAAATATGAAGTGCAGCAATATTATTCCCGCCTCATTTATAATGTTCTTAGATTTAAGAACATTTTAAAAGCCCAATTTTGTTTTCTTTTCTCCTATTTGTTCTAACCTAGAATGTCTTATTCTTGGGCTGTAGCAGTGGACAATTTAAGAAGAAGTATACCCACTCTAAAGGGACTGTGAGTTTTATTGCTGCCTTAAAAAAATAATTTCCCTGAAACAAAAATTCTATGAATTGACTAATCTTGATAAACTTGCATGTGAGAATGACACTAAATTTGCTCATTGTTTTGGGCTCAGCATCTCTTACCTGACCATTCTTTCTCTGCTTCTTCTACCCACCCCCTACTTACCTCTAATCTCTTTTGTTTCTACTTGATTCTGGCATAATAGCAGCCATTTCTCTGGATTTGGCTGGCTTGTCTGTACATACTAGGATCCTAATGTGTGTTTTCTAGGAAGATATAACAAAGCTATGAAATAGACTAAATGTTGAATATTAGGCGGGCTATCTTTTATAAGAATGCTGACTTTAGAGAAAAAAATGAAAAGGAGTATATCATGTAAAACATTCAGAAATTAAGAGCTTACAGGTTAAATTGAAAGGTTTAGAATAAGAGGTAAATTATCCATAGTTGGTTAGTGTTTTCAAACATATCTAATAACTGTCATTATTTTGAAAAGCTGTATTTTATTAGGGGTTTACTTTAACATTTTTATTTACTAGAGAAAAATAATCTAGTGTTGATCAGTGATACCGTTATTTTAAGATGGAATTTACAAAATAGGCTTTTACACATTTCAAAAATTCTTTGAATAGTTACAAATCACTTATACATTCATAAAGAATAGTGTCATTTTTGCTAGTTTTAGAAAACCTATTTGATTTCATATTTATGAAATATTCTAAGAAATGTAAATGCCTTAAGAAATTATAGTTCTAATTTTATTCTTAGTTTTGTCCACTAACCCAGTACTGGTTGAGAATTTTCTTTACAGCTTTATTATCTAAT